CTCCCGAGGGTCGAATCTATCATATAATGAAAACCCTAGCTTTAAAATGTACATTCAAACTAGTTTTTTCACTACTATGACTCAACCCACAAGTATGAAGAGCATACAAAATGCATTTGCTGAAATAACTCAGTCCGCTTGAATTGTTTTTGAGTAATGAAGTTGCTATGAATGTGTTCCTAAGGTCGATTAAACAGAATAAACTCAAACAGTTTGAATCCTTTCTAGGAATTAGTTTTGATTAGAAATATCATTTTACTAAATAACTGAAAAGACTCAAACAGATTGGGTCGTTTCGGTGATACAGGTTTACTGACATAAAATATATATTTTTGTTTATCAGAAACGACTCAAAACACTTGAGATATTACAGAAAAAGAGCTTTGATGAACAGCGCATTTAATATCAAATAATTTAGAAATGACTCAAGCAGAATAAGTCGTTAGTAAGAAATAGATGTTAGACTGATAGTCATATACATTTGATTGAATTGAAACGACTTAAAACATTTGTGTATAAAGTTTATGTAATAATAAATCAATTTCTATTTTATTTAGAAGGACTCAAACTACCTATTTCCCTTTTGTGAATCAGGCCAAGTAGTGTAATGAGTTCGGAAACTATGGTCTGAAATAAAATTATTTAGTTATGCGTTGTTTTGATGTCTTAAAAATAAGAGTAAACACAACTTTCCAAAGATTTTTATAGTGGCAACATTTTGTTGGTAAATTATTATTCTCAAAAACTGGCAACTCTGTCATTTTATCTCACCTTGGGCTGGTGGACGCGTGTTTTGTTTTATTTCATTTTAAGTATATGAAACAAAAGAAGTGAATTAAAATGCGACGAATTGATCGAATTTTGTTTAGTGCCTTGGGACATATTAAGATTAACGAAAGTACTGAGTTTTTAGATGGTAAGTACCTAATTTTTCACAAGGTTCATTTCTAACCTCAAAAATTTGTTATTGCATATATTAATACTTAAGTAATGGCCATAAAGAAGAAACTGTAACGATTTCTTACCATTATTTTATTGTAATCATAACAATCCAATATATATATATTTTTTATAATGAACAGAAAGTGGCTTGGAAGAAATTTCTGCAGCGGAGACTGTGCTGGAATCTGTAAACGATGACGTAGTTCCAACAGGTATTTTATACATAGCTAACTAATATTAAATTTATAAGGATTTGTACCCTATCTAATGGGTCCTATTATTGTTTGCAGAAATAACTTTGTTTTTCATAGACTTACTATGAAGTACAAATTAAATTTTACTATAGATAGGTACTGAATTTGTTTAAGAACTAGTAAAATGTTGATTTTATTAATTTTTTCCAGCTGTAAACTGACGTGACGATGAATCAACATACTGAGTAAATTTAGTTACCTACCTATCTGGGTATTTCCGTCAATACTATTTACAATCTACCTGCGTAAGAATTGCTAGTGTCCTATTTGTATTGTCTGTTGCACTCTTAGTGAGCTTAATGCACCTTTTTGCTGTGGTTTGCGGTATGATATATGATATGATATGATAACATATTATTTTATTACTTTTTAATGATTAAAAAAAATCAGAATTAATATAGCATGATCCAACTGTAAGGCTACAGGGTATAATGGTTGTGGTATTTTGCTGTACTAAACGCTATAGTTTCGCCTTTTTTTGGTTTGTTATGTTTGATTCCTTTTAACTACTAATGTCTAACAAAATTGCACCAACTAAGCTTTACACGTATGCCTTAGCCTACGAGCACCCAAAACCCTATTTACTAATTTAATATTTCTACTATGACAACTCTCAATTTGTAGATATACCTGAGACTTCTTCAGGACTTGAAACAGATGCGTCCAAGGACATCACCTGCAAAGGTATCTGGAAAAATTGACTATGATATGAATTAAAGGCCTAAATGAATGGCAAAGTTGAGTGATTAATGATATTTTTTTACATTTTCAGATGACGGATTTCAAGATAATAGTATTTCTTTGCGCTCTTCAGCGACTCCGGCTGTAACTAAAGTGGCTGATATTACGAAATCAGGTGGGTTTACCACAATTCACTTGTTGTGCATATATGCATATACACATACACACAACATGCACACTCAGAACAACATGGAAATGAACTTACTTTTTATTCCTCACTATCCACTTTCTTCTTCCAACCAGATGTTGAATCTCCAGCTGCCCCTCCGTACTCTCCATTGACACCACTTGTGACTTTGCGCAAAACCATAGCGGAAACATGTAAGTCAAAAAACTAATTCCTATTTAATTTTCTTAACTCCACCATGAAGCTAAGGTGACTGCTATGATTCTTATACGCTATTCTACTGGTTTCATCAGGTCTTGACTCACCAGCTGCTCCTGCATATTCTCCAGTAACTCCTCTTGCTACGCGGAAAGAAGCTGAAAAAAATAACTCACCAATACCACCAATGTCACCAAGTACATTAGAGTTATTCGAAACCCTCAGTCAAGATTTGTCTACAGTTGATCATGCGTATATGGACCTTAAAGAAGATGGAGACTATGACGATGATACAGAATCTGATTATGTACCTGACAGTGGAGAAGAAACTGATTCTTCGACTTCATCTGTAAAACAAAAAAGAAGGAAGAGCGTTGAAATTCCCGAGAGTGACAGTTCGGAAAATGAAACTATAACAGAGGGTTTGATTCAAACTCATGTTGCTATGGTGCACGATAATCAGAGTAAAACTGACAGAACCACACGAATGCGACATGATGATGAAAACCAATTAATTGTTACTAATGCCGTTTACGATGACATAACGGTTGGTGAAATAATTTCAATTTGTCAAAGCTCTGATACTGAAGTTCAACCCGAAACTGAAGTCGCCCATCCTATTACTGAAAATAATGACACATTGCAAACTAAGGGCCGCTCCAAATGTGGACGCAAAAGAAAACATCCAGAATATTGTATCTCTGAGAAGAAGGGTAGGAAATACATGAACTTACCATATCATGTCAAAGACAAACTAGTAGAATCAAAAGTATTCTATGATTATACGTGCACTTGCAAGCAACTTTGTCATTTACTTGTTCCAACAGAAACACGAAAACAAGAGTTTGATAGGTTTGTAACATTGGGGTCATATGAAGCTCAGCTGTTATTTATTTTGAATAATGTCAAAGAATCTGAAAAAGCTCGATCATATAATATTTTAACTAAGACCAAAACCGGCAAAAGCAAACCTCGACAGTATCGAAGAAACTACTATATTGCTGGAAACGTCGTCTGTAAGCAAATGTTTTTGAAAAATTTTCAAATATCGTCTAAAAGAGTTGACACATGTTTGACCAAAAAGCGAACAGATGAAACTTTCAACGACAAAAGGGGTTTAAAACAAGGTGGTTGGAACAAGACTCCTGAAGAAGACATCGATTTTGTCAAAAATATCATTAATTCCCTCCCAAAATACGAATCTCATTACAGAAGAGAACGAAACAATGGCACGCAATATTTAAAACTTGGTATGACTATCCAAAAAATTTACGACATCTACCTTGCAGAATTAAAACAAGTGTACGGCAGCGAGAAGAAATGCGTCTCTTTTGCTACCCTGAAGCATATATTTTATACGAATTTCAATCTCCGTTGTAAACCGTTAAAAAAAGATACATGCAAGAAATGTGATTTATTAGCCCTAGAGATCAAGAAGTGTTGTGTACCAGAAGAAAAAGAACAGTTAATTCTACAAAGAGATTTACATCAAATGAGAGCGGAAGAATTACGTAAGCAAATGTCTCAAGACATGGCTCGGGCTAAAACAGATCCCAAATTTGAATGTCTTACCTACGACCTCGAAAAAACGTTGCCATTACCCCGAATACCGACTAACATAGTATTTTACAAACGTCAGCTTTGGGTATACAATGCTGGGATTCACGTTGGCTCTAACGACCAAGGACGATGTAACATCTGGGTTGAAGGTGAAGCCGGACGAGGAGCCCAAGAAGTTGGCTCGTGCCTCATTAATTTCATAAAAAATGATATGAGAGATGGCGTAGAGAATTTAGTCCTTTGGAGCGATTGCTGCGGAGGACAAAATAGAAATATTAAAATAATCCTGATGCTGAAAACTGTACTCAATAGCCACCCAAATCTTGAAACGATAACTTTCAAATATCTAGAATCCGGCCATTCTTTTTTGCCTAATGACACTGACTTCAGCAAAATTGAATGTGAGCTAAAGCATCATGAGCGCATTTACACCGTAGAAGAATACATGAATATCATGAAAATCTGTAAAAAGAAAAATCCCCTTCAGGTCATCAGAATGAATAAACAACATTTTTTAAGCACAAAACACATTGAAAAAAAAA